GAGCGCATCGGAAGCTTGCCTAGGCGGTCATTGTGCTCTGCCCTGCCAGCGGACAGATAATGGTGATCGAATTCTTCAGTTCTGCACAGAACATCATCTATTCCTATCAAGCACCAACTTCCGACACAGCTCTCGACGNGCTCAAATTCAACTGGCACGCTAACTCAGATCGACCAAATAGCAGTTACCGTTGGTGTGGCTCAGTACAAAACTGCAGGTCCTACTGGATCACCTGCGTTGAATCTGATCATGCGTTAGTTTTGATGCAGTTCACTCTCCAACTCACTGGCCACAGAAAATTCCACCAAACTCGATTGGCAGATCATCGCTTATCTGACCCATCCGTTCGTGCCCGTTTTGAATCAGAACTAGGGTANGTAGTGTAAATGAGCAATGGGATCAGATTATCCGAGCAATGCACTCCGCAACGAAGGTTGCTTGTGGATCTGAAGTAGTAGCCCGCCCGAGGAATTGGATATCTGATGAGTCAGTAGCACTGATAGAGAAAAAGCGGCAAATCCCGACCACTCGGAATCAAGGCAGGGTTAGGTGGCGTCTACAACGTCATCTCACTAGGAGCCTCAAGAAAGATCGTGAGAACTGGTGGCAACGATATCTAGTGAAATGGAAGTAGCGGATGCATCAGGGAATAGTCGGTGACTGTGCCAACTGATACGCAACACGGGAGGTCGGCGAACCACAGTTAGTGAAACAATCTGAGACAAAAGTGGGCAAGGTGTTCATAATAGGGAACAACGGCTTAACCGATGGGCGGAGTACTTCAACGAACAGTTCAGCTGGCCAGGCGCTAACCAGGTTATCTCTTTCCATGTGGCTGAGGCACAGTGGGCAGTGTCATCTGAACCTCCTACTGCAGGAGAAGTTCGTTCTTGCATCCAAGCCCCAAAGAAAGGAAAAGCAGCAGGACCAGACCGGCTTCTCCCCCACTATTTTCAAGATGGGGGGGGGGCGATGACCTTGTAGACTCCATTACTAATTTAATGCGTAACATCTGGTTATACGAGCGCATTCCATCATCCTGGAGCGAATCACTGATCGCTCCAATTTTTAAGAAGGGATCTCGCAATGATTGCGCAAACCACCGTGAAATACATTTGATCCCAATTGTCACCAAAATATTAGCCTCCACCATAATTCAACGTCTGACACCGTCTAGGGAGACAAACATCCGCGAACAACGAGCAGGATTTTGACCAGGCCGCGGTTGTATCGATCAAATCTTCACTTTGCGTCAAGTCCTCGAGCTACGCCATTGGCACCGTCGACCAACGGTTGTCGTGTTCCTTGACCTAAAAGGAGCCTTCGACTCAGTTGATCGTGAATCCCTTATGGGTTCACTCCTTTGCAAAGGAACACCACAGAAATATGTGAATATACTGAGTACATTCTACTGACAAACTTCTGGTAGCATAAGGGTCTACGGCAAGCTCAGTAGGTCATTCATAACTAGCAACGGTGTTCGTCAAAGGTGCCCTCTTTCGCCATTCCTGTTCAATTTCGTCATAGACAAAATACTGGAGAACACACTAAGTGGTCTCCAAAATGTAGGTGTTGAATGGGCAGCTGGAGAAAAGCTGTGCGATTTGGAGTAAGCTGACGACATCGTTTGCTTGTTCGAATGTATGGAGGATACACAAAGAGAACTTGACAGATTAGCAAGTTCTGTCGCTTCGTTCGGCATGTGCTTTGCACCTTCAAAGTGCTCAGTGATGCTACAAGACTGGGCATCGCCGAGTTCTGTTTTGAAACTAGACAGTTAAGAATCAGCCGAAGTTGACTGCTTCTCGTACTTAAGTAGCTGCGTGACCAACGACGGTAGCGCATCGAAGGAGATAACCGCCTGCATTTCCAAGGCTCGAACAGCGTACGCAGGACTAAAACACCTTTGGCGTAGACGTGACGTTTCACTGAAGTTGAAAAGTTGCGTATACTGCGCCACTGTATGATCAGTTCTGCTGTACGGTTGTGAGACCTTGAATTTGCGGGTAGAAGACACCCGTCACTTAGCAGTGTTCGACAATTGATGCTTATATAGTCTGACCCAAGTGGGATGGAGTGAGCGGGTTAGTAACTTGGAAGTAAGTCGTCGGGTGTTTGGGAATGCATCAGACAAGAACTCGCCATCTCATCGAATCCAGCTCAGTAGGCTCCATTGGTTAGGTCACGTTTTGTGTTTATCCGGCGGTCGCCTACCGCNGGATAGGTAGAGTAGGTATCTCTCGTCTTCCGGGTTAGGGTCCAAAAGACTCTGAAACCGCATGGTTGGAGACACTGAAGGTCATGGCTGCGAACCGACAGCAATGGCGATCATGCTGTCACTTTATATCAGTCCAAAATGCTTGAACTAGTATATATGCACAGTTGGGCTGTGTACTCTGTGTGCTGACCATCGAGGTTCGCTTTCTTTTCTCGTCCCTAAAAATAGGCCCAATCCCTGTCCTCCTTGCACATTCTCACTTATCTTTATGCATTATGAGTCTGGCAGCGATCAGTGAAGTTTGCTTCACTGTATTACGCTGTACAGCGATGATGATGATGATCGCTTTATATCTATCCGTGCACTTGTTCCTATGAAACAAGCTGGGCTGATCAATCAGCAAGGTGACTATTCATTTACATTACAGAGCGTCACCCTAGCTTGCTAAATCAGGATTCTTCTGATGACCGGAGAAAGAACAACTACTGATTTACAATCTGATCACAGTCAATGTGAGTGAGGTTTTCCATCCACTCTACTCGGCCAGTGACTGCGGTGATTGCCATCCGTCTCTCGAATCACTCCTTATGCGTTCATACCAGTAAGCGTTCCATGGTCATGCTAAGCAGATAGAAAAAACCGGCCATTTGGAACATCAAACACCAAACCCAACAAGGAGCTGAACAGTGCGTTAGTCTGTACATAGTTTCCACTCAATCTCTGAATTGCATCCGACATCTCCCCTTTTCACTTGCAATAATGTTGCGTTGGCACCGTAGCTGTGGTCCAGCTGGTGAAATGAATACCTATATACGCTTATAATCTGGTTCCGTATTTGTGATTCAGCAATTCTCGCTAACACAAAACACAGGAACCCGGAAAACACAAATGTCGCACAAATCAATTATTGCGGTCATGTCCTCTCATTCCGATTTAATTATTCTCTTTCACCTTTGCGTGATACATGCACCACAGACTGCGAATATTGAAGTAATTGTGTCCTTTTTGCATCAGATACATCAGATACTATTGCAGTTAGGTGTAGGTTAGTGAGCTATCCGACACTGTTCGTGTGGCACCATACTCGAAGACTAGATGAAAAGCTGCATCTGTTTCCCTCCCCGGATCGAAAGAAACAAACAGCCGAACAGACTTATCCGAATTGGAGCCCAAAATGGTCTCTCTCATTGTGTGTGTATGCGTGTGGGTGCTTCAGTGCGATTTGCGGCCTGTGCACCGATTTTCTTTCATTCATCGTTGCATACTTTGAGGTTTAAACTTCTTACGTGTATCATGCTCTGTCACATTTCGTGTTGCGAGTGATTCGGTGTTTATTTTTATCCGTTTTCCAGTTCACAATCTTGTACGGTTTGTTGATATATATATTTGAAACATTTAGATCCCGTAATGAATTTCAACAGGCAAGTCAGAAGAGAAACACTGCAAGAGGAATTCCTTTCGTATACTCTCATCGGTCGCGTACGTATAACATCGAACAAGATAG